ATACTATTCATTTCCTGAAAAATTTCATACCAAAAAAAAAAAAACCCTCGTGAAATTCGCTAACTTAATAATATCGCTCACATGCAATAAAAAAAAAAATAAAAAAAAAAAGGAAACTTAGCAACTTATCTACCTCTACTTTGAGTAATAATATAGAAATCAAAAGGCTTACATTGTAGAAGACAAAGAATGAAGTCGAAGCCTTTTTGTTGTATTATCATCCTTACATTGACGATCAAGAAATAAAAGCCAAACATGCTAAGATCAAAAGACATCTTAATAATTTCTCAAACTTATTTAATAGACTAATTATATCAATTAGTGAATAATTATACTAAAATTTACCACATTTTTAATTCACAGTTGATTAAAAACATGATTAGACTAAGGTGATATCTAGCTTTATATTATGATACACTTATAGCTTGATATTGATCTTTAATCTAAACCAATACCACGCAAAGAAGCACAAGTATGCATAATCACACACGCAATATCATACCTTCACTACCATGTCACATCGCCACATAAGCTACCATCTCAACAACAACAATCCTGTGGTAGTGCCATATTGGTAGAAAGTGTACAGTAAGCAAAGCAGGGAGCATCAACTCAACAATAAGGCAATAGAATTAGAGTTTCAATAGCCGAAAAGCAATAGGAAACAACAACATTATAAAGCGGTAGAAGTACACTAAGGGATCAATAAGAGAGCTAGAGGTCAGGGTAGCAGGGGTATAGCAGCATCCTACGTACAATAAACTTAATTCATAAGGAATGAATAGGCAATATAAGATCTATCTGAAGGAATACAACATAAGGAAACACATTTTTTTTAGTACTTTCTAAAGCTATAGAGACTTGACAAATTTGCTATCAATACGTGTTCAGACTTGATAGCAAATTAGAGCATTCAAACATCAATTCCTAGTTTCATACTTGCATGAGATGATATTGTTACATTCTTAACTTAAAACCCACATGTATATATAGCAGCACATATAACACATTTTGATCCATATAGGCGTTACATGTGTAAAAATTAAAGAACAGATATATGCTTATTAATTAGTGTATAGTAGGCTAGTAGCATAGAAACAACAACCTTCCATTGAATAGAATTGGACTTGTCTTTACAGTTAGACTATGGAACGGGTAACTCTTCATCGGTGGAATCAAGCTCATGATCCATATCTTGGTTAGGCCTATAGAGCTCATTGTCTTCCAAACCCATTTTCTTTTTATTCTTACTATGATAGCCTCTATTACTTTGAACTTGCGCCATCAATGACTTAGCCTGTTCCTTCAAACCTATTGCATTTTGGACAAATTGTTTTTAATCCTTTTGTTCTCAACCATCTCATATTCTGTCATTCTAGGTATTTTTCACCAGAACCTCTTATAGCTCCAAGCTTAGTGGTATTTTTCTTTTCCATGCTTGGAGAAAATTAATTTTGAAAACAGGGAGAAGAAAAAAACATATATATATATATATATATATAGGGAAAGACTCTCGTGAGAATTTCCCTATATATATATATATATAGAGAGGGAAAGGCTCTCGTGAGAATTTTTCTTATGTGAGAATTTTTCGTATGTGAGAACACTCTTTATGTTCTAAATTTTCACTTGTATGTTCTAAATTTTAAATATGATGTTCTAAACTTTTCCTTAGGTGTTCTAAATTAAATCAAATGTTCTAATTTAGTAATCACATGTTCTAACTGATAAATTAGTTAAGTTTGGTGTCATAAATTTTAAATAACTTGTTCTAAAATTTTAAATTATATGTTCTAAATTTTAAAACGTGTGTTCTAATATTTTTAATTATATGTTCCTGATTTTGAAGCGTTTGTTCTGTTTTTTTACTCGTATGTTCAAAATTCTTTACTCACACTTTCTATATTTTGTATTAGTTTGTTCTAAATTTTTATTCATATGTTCATAATTTTAAATCAGATATTCTAAATTTTACTCATATGTTAAAAATTTTATAAATCAAAATTTATAAACTTTTAATCACTTGTTCTAATTTTAAATCAAATGTTTAAAATATATTACTCACACAAATGTTCTAAATCATTACTCATATGTTCAAAAATTTTACTCCCATGTTCTAAGTTTTAAATCAATTCTCATATAAGTATGAATTCTCACATATGAACCTATTCTCACTGGATCCCTCCCCTATATATATATATATATAACCAGTCATAAAGCAAAATGGTGCAAAATTAAGAGTAAGAACTATACAACCAAACGGTAGCTATACACATATAATGACCAACATTAAAAATAAAAATAGGGGGGGTGAGGAAAACATGAATATCAATTCCAAATCCAAATGAGAGTCAATTAAGAAATTATTGATCAAAGAATTAATGCTAGAACTTAACTGACTACTGTAGTCCAGGTAATGAGAGAAGAATGATGTAATAGACCCAATATGCAGACCATAGTTCCAGGTTTACACCATGAGGAATCAGATAAATGGGAATTGGGAAAGCCCAAGAAGGAGAGCATAAAAAGCAGTCAGCAAACAAAACAGGTCATCAAAGCATAAGATGACAAATGTAATTAATTCTCCACCATACCTTGAATCTCCTAACATAGTTAAATCGGTTAATAAAAGGGAAGAGTTGTGACCTGAAGCTATAATTTACACATCCCAACCATACCTCGTTGCTTTGAAAGGCCAGCAAGGGACATTTCTTCTAGAGAAATCTTTTAAACACATATTTCCAAAAGTAATTTACTAGTCTCAAGTAATTTGGTAAAAAGTTGAATACATGAGGACCTCCAGTTTCAAAACAAAATGCTTGCTAGAAAGTATTATTTTTTATAATCAACATTCATAAGATGGATTGCTTCATTTCAAAGGTTGTAAAAAATAAATTAAAGAGAGCTCCTAAAACAATAATCTAACAAGAAAAGGGAAATTGAGGTTTGGTAGATCCCTTTGAGTTAGTGAGACTAACATGCTCTCCAATGAAAAAAGGAATCAGACAAAATTAGTTAGGCATTTGTTATTTTCTTCCATTGAACAAAACGGGGTGGAATACAAAAAGAAAAACATTAAATTAGCTCTAATAATCCCTGATTATTTCAGATTAATCACTTAACATTGTAGGACAAAAAGATATGAGATTAGCCATGTAAATACAAACGAGAGTAGGTGGCAAGCTTGACGATTGGCAGGCTAAAGTCGTATCATCTAATTAAAAGTAATTCCTAAAACCACTAACTAAAATAGATAGGGAAGTAGGGTTAAATTCACAGGGAAACAATGTTCTTTTATTCCTAATAGATTATTATAATCTAAATTATCAAGGAGCAAGGAAGAATTGTGAGAATTATACTATGACAATAATAATCAAACTAAGGGAATAAGCAATAATAAAAGATCTAGGGTCATAAGTTCACCAATAATTAATACTCCGGGATAAAACATAACAATCAATAATCAATGAATAAATTAACCAGATTATAAAAAGCTTTCGCTACGTATTATAATCACAGAATTTATCTATCGGTATTAAATCGCATCTCTCGAGTCTTGATTTATCCATTTATAAATTAACATGCATATTGAAACTAAGCCTAAACATCAATTCTCATCTCTCGAATCTCAAATTAATATTGCGTAACTCGTACATAAAAGACCTGCGCATGTCTAATTGCATAACATTAAATCAATCAATAGGAAATTAACCCAAAACATTAACAATCAACACTAAAAAATCATCCCTTCATATTAATCATGCATCCCCAAGAACCCTAGAATTAAACTACTCGTGCATAATTAAAATTAAACTAATGAAAACGATTAAAGAAAGCATGATTATAATCAATAAGCAATTAAATTAAGCAGTTAAATAAAACAGTTAAAGTAAGCATATAAGAAACAATAATATCAAAACTTATATGAAGAAAATAGTATAAAAACATAACAAAACCACAAAGAAAACTTAAAACTAATTACTGAATACTAAATAGAAGCAAAACTAAGACAAGAAATATAAAGAAAAGTCAACTCAACTAATGAATCATGAAAAACTAATGAAAAGCTACTCTTCTACGCAAGAATCACGAAAGCTCATTATAAAACTAAAACTGAAACTAAACAAACTAATAATCTCCTAACAACCCACTAATTGGGTATTTATAATTCCTCATTAACCGACATCAATCAGGTGGGCCTAAACAACGAAGCCCAGCCACTCAAAACAATAAACATCAGCGTGTTAAGCTGTAGTTAAGCTGCGTGAACAAGCCTGCACAATCGGGCCCGGCTAATTGGCACCGAATTGGACTTCTCTTGTGAAAATCGGGCTTTGGAGTTGAAACTTGTTAATTTGAGCCTAAATTCTCAATTAGCTTGGTCCGTAATAATAATAACTTTGTAAATCTTATACCTCCTCACGAATCAAGCCCTTAATCATCGAATTAAACTCGATCTTGGCTTTAAATATATGGTCATAAAATAACATCCGACTTTAATATCTTTGTAGTGGCTCAATAAGCTTGGGAATCGACATAATTCTGCAAATTGCTATAAAATAATACCAACTCTACAAAAACACTAGAAAACATATATTAGTAATAAAAATAGTTCAAATAAGCACAAATATGACCGTGGGACGGGGAATAAAAATATATATAAAATAGACTCATCAATGATTGCGTTCCTATGTAGTATCTATTTGTCAATAATTTAACACAAAGACAAATTAAGCACCTAAGCTGCATTGGCCTGCATTGCTACAATAGTATTATCCCCATATATAAGCATCTCGCAAAATTCATGTTGATATATTTGATAAACGTTAAATGTAAATCAAAAGGGGTGTTTTAGACATATCCATCATTTAAATGGGGGTATTTTGGCGAATTTGGCATGTATGATTAAGCATATATGCCAAGAATGACGGATCGATTCCACGTAAGTAGGAAACGGGGTTAAATATATAGAATGACTCAGATTGTAGACGTTTGTGCAAAATGGACGGAAGTATCAACGACGTTAGGGTATGTACTTTTAGTCTGTTTTTTGAAGTCGCCCCCAAAAATCATATCTGCAAGTTGGTATGGTTGTAGAAGAATCTGGGCAGGGTATGCAGCTGAGAATATAGAAGAGGAATTGGTAGTCGTTTGTAGAAATCCATTGCTGGAGGAGGTCGGTGAATTGGAAATCAGCTACTTTCCGGGTAATTATTTTGGATTGTATCAAAGATTTTGTTTGAAATATAATTTTGGTCGGGATTTCATGTAACTTTGTCAAAGTACTGTAGTAATTATGTTGAATTTTTGTGTACTCCCTGTGGTTTCGATGAATTAATTATCAAAATCCAATTGTTGTTTAGGATTAGAAATTTGCCGAAATGAGTGGTTGGAGTTAGAAACAATGAAGAGGTAAAATGTTTTAATAACTTGAAAAAATTGAAATGTGATTTAGGCAATGCTAAAGAGAATGATGATGTGTAATTGAGTGTTTTGTTTTATTTGATTGCTTAAGACTTATGTTAAGACTGTGTATATGCCAGACATAAGTGCTGAGTGATGTGTAAATAATAGGATCTCTGAATACAGTTGCTAGATGTATTATTCAATGTTAGTGAATTATGGGGAATCTTTAAAATGTGAAATATGTTTTTAGGATGATAGTATCAGCGAAGGTGGATTGGTGAAGGCTAGGGGTGAAGTACTTAGACAACAAGCACTTTTGTGTGGTCGGGTGAGTTAATGATAATTTTGTTGATTTTGGAATGTATTTGAAGATTGATTTATGTATGTTCAATTGCTAATTATCCTCCTAAGTTTTATTGTTTTAAATTTCAGCCCCCCAATATGAGCTGTAGAATTAAAAGGTTTAGGCGTATATGCCAAAAATTTGATGAAAGACGGAAGAGGTGGGTCATGGAAATGGGATTCGGGGGACTTCTACATTTAGTATCCGACATGCACTTACCTAGGCAGCTAGCGTACTGGTTAATGACAAGGATTGATCCCATTAATAAAAGTTTTGTGTGTCGGGATGGTCGGTTATTTTGGTTCTCAAAGATTTAAGTGAAGTAGATATTTGGACTCCCAAAAGGGTCACGGCCCGCACCAACTAACAAATGTATGAGTCCCAAAGTGAGGCCTAAAGATGAAAAAATATTGTTCAAATATGGTCGTACGTGGGTGACGAAATGCTGTAGAATTTCTGGTAGGGTTTATACCTCTGTTGAGATTCCTGTAACTTCCGAAATGCTTGAGAGGTTAGAAGGTCAGTTTGGGGACGAGGAGGAAGAAGATTTCAAGTCCATGTTTCTTATTGTAGCCTTGTATATGGTGTTGTGTCCTACTCAGTCACCCAGACTGGCTGCGGATTTGTTACCAGTGCTGAGTTGTGTGATGGACTGTGCGGATTATTGGTGTGAGTTAGTACTGAACAAACTAATGGAGAGTGTTGCTGATTTTGCCCGGAGGTTTTATGCCACAGGATATGCAAATGGATGTGGAGGACGTGCCTTTTTTTGCTGTGGTAAGAAGTTGAAATGGTGTGACGATCAAGGATTAATGAAGGTACCAACGCGCACCGTAACGTATAATGTCATAAATGTTTTGCAGATTTAGTATCTGGATCGGCTTAATAGGGAGCTCGTGTAGTGGGACGTGTATCCTAGAGTAAAGGTTTGGAGCATGAAACTAATTTCAGAGGCGTCTAAGGAAGACAAGTTTGGTTGCGGTGACTATGGCAAGTTGGGGGTAAGTCGTTCAATTAGATCCTTGTATGACAATTATGTGGTCGAGAAATTGTATTGAAATATAACTATAACATAGTGCGGTGTCCCTATAATAGGTTGTTGATGTTGCTTATGGAGAATGGCATTCAAGGCATGGTAGGGACACTGAAGGCCCGGGCACCGAACTGTACAATGTAAGGGGATCCGTATAGCTTTGGTAAATGATATGATAGTCGCTCGCTCGGTAGCTTATACTGACCTATCATTTGGTGTGCACGACGTGTCAATTTTGGAGCACAGTTACAGGGACAGAAGGCATACTTCTATTGGATATGCACGTCGGAAGCGGAAGGGTTTGGCTTGATGGTATTGGCTACCTGGAAAAAAATAATCCGACTCATAATGGCCAGTTACGTATGTGATATTAGTCTGTGGCCTAGATAAAAAGGGAAATGGTCATTGTAATGGTATGTATCACCAAGGATGCACGGACACGCCAAAAATCTGAAGAGTCCGAGTCGACACGCGTGTCGGACACGGACACGGATGAGACACGGGGCGACACGTGTCCGACACGCAGAAAACCGTGTCCGATTTTTTTTAACCGTTTTTGATTTTTGGACACGGGCCGTGTCTTGGGCTGACACGGGCCGTTTTGGTATGGACACGCGAAATACCTAAATTCCTATGCTTTGCCTCTCTACCTCTTTCCAAGTTTCCAGTTCTCAAACTCTCAATCCTCTCATCCTCTCAAGTCTCAACTGAACCCCTTGCTGCTCACTTGCTCAGTCGCCGACTTGTAGGTCTCACCGTACCGCCGGCTTGCTGTCTCCGTCACCGCCACTCGCCTCCTTGCCGGTTGTCAGGGTTGCTGGCCTGGCCCTTGCTGCTCGTGGCCTTCATCTCTCATTGTTGCGGGGGTTGCTGGAGTTGCTGGCCTGGCCCTTGCTGTTCGCCTGCTCGTCCTCAGCCACCACCTATCACTCCACCGCCCACCTTGTCGCCCGTCGTCCGTGTCAGCCACCAGGTATGGTTCTTCTCTACTTTTTTTTTTTTAAATTCAATTAAAGTTCTGAATATGCATCCTTGGATGTCGAGAAGTGAGAGAATGTCGGTGAGAATGGAGTCTGGGAGAGAACTTAATCGGTCTTCATTTTCTGAGTCTCCGCCATTGTTGTCTTTAATGGAGCTCAATTTCAGCCTTTTCGTGCTTATTTCTTGGTGTTCTGCCATTCAACAATTGAGCTCCATTGTTATCTTTACTGGAGCTCAATTTCTGCCATTCAACAATTGCTGTGATTCTGAAGTGAATTCGAGTAATGCTAATTTGGGGAATTTTTTAGGGTTTTAATCAGTGTAAGTGTGTAAGAACTTCTGATTTTCTGAAATTCAATTGCTTCAATAATTCAATTTGTTGTTCGTCGTCAGCCAGACAACCACCGCCCACCACCGTGTTTTGACAGTTTTGTTGATTACTTGATGAGATGTTTGATTTTGTGTTATGTTTCTAGTTTTGTTTGATTACTTGAAGAGTACTATTAAGACATGTCTGGTTTGATGGTTTCTTGATATGTATCCGACTATGTCCGTACACTTTGTTCATTTACTTGTTTAATTAAAATTGTGTGTTTTGAGGCTAATTATTTAGTGTTTTATTGAATTAGTTGTCAAATTCTCGTTTTTTTTAATATATTATATGCCTTGTTATACGCCGTACCCGTGTCCCCTATTTTAGGATTGCCGTTTTCCCGTGTCCGTATCGTGTCCGTATCCGTTTCCGTGCATCCTAGTGTATCACTATATGATAGATGTGCATTGGGGTGTAAAGACTTGGTTTAATTTGTCAAAGTTTGTGTTGTAGGTGGACTTTGACTTTTATTGGGCCTTTGTTTTAAATCTGGGCCTCAATGAGTGATTGTATAATTCCGGATTAGATGGTACCCTCCTTGTATGTAAAAGGATTCCTATGGCTTTGTTTGGCCGATTTGTAGGTGGCTATAGTTGTTATGTTTTTTAATGTGGCAGATAACCCCTCTGATGTTAGAAAAGGACGAGTATGAAGTGCAATTCTTAAAATGTAATATTACTCTAGTTGGTAAATTTGTTCTTGAACCTTGTGGATGTTGTCCTAAACAGGTTAATTTTTATGTAACTGAACTTTGATTATACGAAAGTGTTATTTATAGTTGTAGTGGAACATGAGGTCCTTATGCAGCAGCGACATAATGATAACTATGACGGGGTACTATCAGTTATAAGGCATAGTTTAACAACTACAGAATTGTACTCAAATGTTTTGGGCCTTGCAGATTAATACCAAGAACTCATTAAAGTCGTAGTATGACATTTAAAAATATCGTAAACAGTCAGCCCAAGCAATAGTTCAACTAAAGAGGCTGAGGCTGGCCCATTGATACGTGACTTTTATGTCACTTTTAGGGCATTTTTATTCTTATTTTCCGATTTAGTTTGTAATAATTTCCCTAGTTTTATGCTTTATTTCGCTTATTTTCTTATTTTCCTTTTTTTTTTGGTCTTTATGTTTGAGCATTTTTGCATTTTATTAGTTTTTAGTTTATTTTCGTAATTTTATTTATTAATTTTTCTTTTCTCTCATTTTCTTATTTTATTTTATTTTCATATTTGTTTTCTTTATTTTATTTAATTTCATTTGATTTTATTTTTAGGAGGCCCCCATTCATCTTTATGATGAACACTGCTCGTTCATCTTATGGCAATATTGTAATAATAGTGAACAGTGAATTGCACACGTATGCTGCAGAGTGGATGGTGATGTGGTGCCCCGTGTTAAAAACTAACTTCTAAGACAGACGTGGAGGAAACGGCGTTGATAGAGGCTGTAGTTAGTATTCGAAAATATTGTGTGCCGTTATCGTTATTTGTAACGACGAATTAAGTGTAATATATATAGTTACAAACATTTATACTCGTCGTTCTTGGAGTTCATTTTTTCGAAGAGGAGGAGACTGGAGAGTGTAGGATTAGCAGTAGATTGTCCTCTAAGTTTTAGATCTGGTAAGGAATTCAACCTTGGCTATGTAATTGAATCAAAACATTCCTATCTTATTGTTAAATTCATTGAAGTTTATCTTGAACTGTAGATCCTTACGGGCATTACTTACTGGTTGGAATCGCAGATCGTTTTGTATTGAAAAGAATCTGGTAAGTATTTCCATAAACCCAGTTTAATTGAAGGTGCAGTATATATTTGCTATAAAGTAGGCTGAATTTATGTTTTGGTATATGGTTTCCTCAAACCCAGTAAGTATTGAAGTTGTTCTTTATATTTTGCGTATTCTGTGGGGTGAAATTTAGTGGCTGTTTAAAAATCTTTGAAATAAATTGGGTTGTTCGTTGTTAAAGTTGAGGTTAGTGGTGACTGTTGGTAAGCGATTAATTTTGGTTTATGCTTAAATGGACATGTGAGAAATTGAGGTAAAATTATAAGTTGATCTCAGTTGGATTCATTCTTGTAGAAGGAGAATTACATAAAATCAGAATAATTTCCAAGAATTAGTATCTAATTTGGGCATTTACAAGCCAGGAATGGGATATCTGTCATTGTGAGTAGTGGACATTTTATAAAGATGCTGTGATTAAGGTAGTTGTGATGGGTTAAGTTATTGGACTCAAGTGGTAGTGATGGTCTTGTTTGGAATGTTAAGTTGTGTTTAAAGGTGTCATGTTCTTGATTAATTTCTATGTCCAAGAGTAAGAAGTTATATACATTGAGGTTGTTGAAATATGTTAAGTAAGTTGATTGACCCAAAAAGCTGTAATTTTATAATTTGATAACTAAGTCAGCTATGTATGTAAGTGTTGATTATGTTTGGATTGTTCTGTTTACATTTGTCTTTTGTATTTGTGTCAATAAATTTGCCAGAAATCAAAAGATATATTGGGTGACAATGGATAACTCTGTACTGTCTCCGGCTGCTGTGTGTGGTGTTGAAGTTGTTGCGGGGGATAAGGGGAGTGCAGTAAGGTGTCGTGACAGGGGTGATAGTGAAGATCACGGAATTAATCTTGGTCCAGATAGTCCTGGTGATATTGTACCGTTTATAGAGGGTGAGAGAAACTTAGGTGAAGAGGAAGGGATGGAGTATGTTTCACCAATAAAGACTGTTGAGACAGTGCAAACAGTTGTTGCAAGTAATCATGTTAGTGTGGTGAGTTATGTGGAAGCTCCTCGGATTGGAATGGTGTTTAGAAGTTGGCAAGAGGTGGAAGCCTATTACGAGTATGCTGAGCAGATGGGGTTTGTTGTTAATAGAGTACAAGGGGTATATTCGAAAGGAGCGGCGAGAGATCGAATATCGACAACATGGAGATGTGAGTGTTATGGTAGGCCCGATATGAGGGCACAAAGGGAAGCTAAAAAAGGGCGAAGGAGATGGGTGTTGGTGGATCCGGGGGAGTTGTAGGTGGGCTGGTGGGGGAGGGAGAATTGAATAATAGTAAACGTCGGTCTAAAAAATGTGAGTGCAAAGCTAAGGTGTATGCGAGTGCAAATGCTGCTGGCAGTGGGTTATAAAAGGTGTTGAGTTGGACCATTCAAACCATGAACCTATTCCCAGCAATGCGAAGCTAGTGAAAGAGTATAGAATGAAGCACTTTACGTCAAGAGTGAGGAGGCAGTTACTGAAGTATTTTGATGAAGGGGTACATGTGTCCCAAATTTATGGTTGCTTAAGCTCAGAGTTTGAAGGTTTGGATCCTTTGCCATTGACTGTAAAAGACCTACAACATGAGATATACAAATGCAGGAGGCTGAAAATGGAGGGGGGTGATCCGAAAGCTATGATGAAATTTTTTAAAAAAATGCAAGGGGGTAACCAAAATTTTTTCCACTCCCAAAGGTTAGATGAGGAAGGAAGGCTGAAGGACGTGTTATGGGTCGATGCCCGTAGCCGAGCTGCATATGAGGATTTTGGAGACGTGGTATGCTTTGATGCAACTTATCTGACAAATGAGTACGACCTCCCCTTTGTCAATTTTGTTGGGGTTAATCACCATGGGCAATCAATTCTGATCGGGTGTGCACTGGTGTCACATGAAGATTGTGATACATATCGCTGGGTATTCAAGCAATGGTTGGAGTGCATGAATGACAAAGCTCCCAGGGCAATACTGACTGATCAAGGGGCTGCGATGAGGAAACCGATTGAGGAGCTGATGCCGACAACTAGACATCGTTGGTGCATGTGGCATATTATGAGAAAGATTCCTGAAAAATTGGGCAAATTAGAAAGGTTTGTGCATTGTATGAAACACTTAAGGACTATATACGATTTTTTATGTCGGTAATTGCGATATATTGATTTGAGTTTGAATGATTATTTGTTGCAGGTACAAACAAATCAAAGTGGAGCTTAAGGTTGTTGTGTACAACAGTTTTACAATTCTTGAGTTTTAGAAAGGCTGGAAAGAAATGCTTGTGAAGTATAAGTTGGAGAGCAATGAATGGCTAGACAGTTTGTATACGGAAAGGCATATGTGGGTTCCGGCATTCATGAGGGAATACTTCTGGACTGGTATGAAGACAACACAGAGGGTGGAAAGTATTAACAGTTTTTTTATGGTTATGTGAATAGGAAAACGAAGTTGTTTGAGTTTCCAGAAAAATATGTCAAAGCTCTAGAGAAGCGAGTGGAGGACGAGATAGATGCTGATGCAAAGTGTTCTAAATACATCAGAAGACTTGTAAGTGGTTTTTTGGAAGAAAGGGTTTTTCAGAAATTATATACCGACACCAAGTTTCAAGAAGTTCAAACTGAGTGCACGCGTATGATGTATTGCTATCCTCGAGAGGAGAACAAAGCAACTGATACCATATTGCAGTATCTGATTGATGACCGGGTTTGGGTAGTGCCTGAAGGGAGGAGTGAAGAAATATTAACTGATAAAAGGAGGTTTTATTCGGCCACTTTTGATACCGAATCGAAAGTGGTTTGTTGTGACTGTCGCAAGTTTGAGACAAGCGGGATTATGTGCAAGCACATTATGAGGATTCTTGATCTAAACCTTGTCTCAGAGATCCCTGAAAGATACATTATCAATCAGTGGCGCAAAGACATACTTCGGAGACACACGCGGGTTAAGGTGTCTTACCATGATCCGGAGAACACATCCGTGGGGAAAAGGTACTCATCACTTATGTCTTCATTTGAGCCAATATGTGAGGAGGCTGCCATGGTTAATGATAAGACAGTGAATATGGTTATCAACTGTCTTCAACAAGTGAAGTCTGATGTGATGCAGTCACGTAAGAGGAAGTATGAGGACTCAGCACCTGTAAGTTATGCAGACGAAGGACCTGACCCCTTCGAAGATGCCTCATGTGAGGTTAACGGGACAGAGTCCACTGTGCAACAACCCTCTGCTACAGGTATGGGAGGTGTTGATGCCTTTGAACCTGTTGAGACAGAAGCCCCCGTCGTTATGAAGGACCCTTTGCCAAAAAAGAGAGACAGGGGAAGGCCCAAAGGATCCCGTAATAAGACCCTTGCTGAAATGGGGTATAAAAAGACAAGCAAGAATAATGGGCAGGTAAAAATTTTTGGATCCAAAATGGTGTAAAATTCCAGTTACCCTTTGCCAAAATGTTTGATGAATATTTTTTTTAACAGGTCATGAAAGCTGTGGACAAGGCTAATGAAGCAGTCGAATCTGCAACACAAGCGGTTCCTACACCTAAGAAAATGACTGTAAGTGAATCTATGTAATGTTGCGTTCATTCTGTAAACTCTGTAGGGTGGAATTATAGTTAGGGTGGAATTATAGTTATGTGTTTGTCGTTCATGCTTTAGGTAAGACGTCCTCCTGCAAATGCAGCCCCTACTGATGGCGATGCAGACGTAGCAATTGTGCCTGAGGATGATGTACTTGTCATTGGGACATCCACGTGTGGCAGCTTCTAAGTGCGTTAAACCTAGAGGTGAAGCCCCCTGTAAACCAGAGCTGATGCCCCCTCTATAAATAATTGGGTGTAGTATATTACACCATTAGCTACCTCTCTTAAACAAACTCTTGTTATTACAATCTGACTGTCCTACTTGTTTTGAGTTTCTATTCTGTTGGCATGTGTTGTTGAAGTGTGGAATGCATGTATTTTTATTATCTGTGTTTGAAGTTTGTGTTTCCCAGATTATGTGTATGGTTCGTATTATGAAATTGTGATATTGATATGTGTCCAACGTCAGACGTTGTGCAGAACATTGAACTAGATATGTGAAGGACATAGATAACTATGACTGCATTGTATGTTGCTGCTGGGTGCCGAAAAACTTGTGTGCATACTATTGAATTTCGCTCTTTTTTACTCTGTTACGCGTCTAATCTAGGAATAAGCCTAACAACTATTTAAAACGTTGCATTTAGTAATTGTTGATATTTTCATGGTCCACAGTTGGGCTCTAGATAAAGACAGTTGGGCTCTAGATAAGGATTGTATGGTTGGACCCTAATTTCTACGGGAAAATGTACATGTAACATGTTACAGGGACAACAACTGCATTTACCAAAAAGGCCATGATAGACCCACATTGAAGGGGTACAAATACAAATGGGCGGAGGCCCCCATAGCTTAAATAACATGTAACAACACAAAAATGTACCCAATCCGTTTTATAACTTTAGGCAACAGAAACTTCTATCATTGGGCCCCCACAAAAAGTATCACCTACAAAGCCCAATGCTTGCTAAACAACACAAATAGTAGTACCCTCTATGCTGCAACCAGTGGACCACCATATTTTTCCACCGTGGTGGGAGGTGGTGACTTAGATGCTTTCAACCACGTTTTTCCTTTGATTTTGTTGATTGTGGACACAGCCCCTTTAACAAGCCGCTTGTAACCAACGACCCAGTTCCTGGTTTTAGTATTGTTTTGAGAGTGTGAGGACTTTATCACCTCCTGTGGAGCTGCCTTGATGTCATCCTTTGTTGTTGAGGACAACCCCTCGTGTACCTTGTCAAAAAATAGCCTGGAAGTTGGTGATAATATAGGCAACATCAACCACAAGTTTGAAACCGAGATGTCACTTGGTGATGGGAACTCTTCGTCTCCAGAAACACCATTGTAACCAACTTCTCCCATGAGCATGTCATTGAAATCAGTAGAAGTTGGTCTTTCACCCCAAGCAGGCCCGAACCTGCATTTGGGCAAAGCCCATCAAGGTCTTGCAAATAGGCTGTTGTGATTCGATCCCTAGGACCGTCAAATATACTTGACTTAATTATGGAGGGGCGAGCTAGGTTTCTTACCTCAATCTCGTCCTCCATTAGTTTTAGTGAAAATTTCAAATTAAGGGAAGAGTATATGAGTGCAGTGGTTTAGTTTCTCTAGGAATGATGTCTTATATTTATACTACTACAAGTCACCAAAGGCAGTAGTTGGGTTATAATTAAGGAAGCATGTAAATCGTACTATGTGAGGGTGAATGTTGTTCGCTTTGTTCACTGGACAAAAGAACATTCAATTTGCGCATTTGTTTATAGCTTTTGAATACTATTCCCTTAAAATTTCATAATTTCAATTTCTTTTTTCTCATTGTTTGTGTATGTGACCTAAGCCTAAATATATTTATTTATAATAAAACACATGTCAAATACGTGGCACAAGGATTACAGTCAATTTTTATTTATTACACAAATTAGTGGATTACAAACTGAGTTCCTCTTACTACACAACACTAACAGACTATGGTCACCAAGGACCTTCTTAATAACTAAACTTGACACTACTTCACGGACAACAAAACACTATTAGTAGCGACAGTTTAATTAGGTACATGCCGTTAACACTTAACTACTTAACTTAGACACTTGCACACACTAATTGACCAGTACTACTCAGAACATCAACTACGTAGTTCTTGCTTAGATGCTACAATTTATAAGACCACTTGACCATGAACTTTCAAGACTTTCATTTCATGGGTTCCTCCACACATTTGGAATGAAATAGAGCCGGTGGTTGTTTTTGATGCCCACCTCCCTAACTGTGTGGAGTCGATTTGTGACGTTGTTCTCATAAATACCCACCATTTCTTCAGGAATAAGATTATTCCGTCCAGCCCAGTCAGCATACACTGGATAAAGGGTCTCCTCATGGCACAAGGTCACCCTCACCTCGCGGGGAACTGAAGTACAATCCTGCATAAAGAACACTTTGAAGCGAGTATCAACATTTTTCTGTAGATCCTGAATGGTTAAACAGTTGAAACATGAATTAGATCATATTAGATTGACGCTAAAACGTGTAACAACTGCAAGTGACGGGATTTTCATAAATATAGACCTTATTTCACTTGTTAAGTTTAGATTAACACTAATGTACTACTGATTGACTATTTTACAAGTGTTTGACTATTATAAAGCAACATAAACAAATGTAATTCGACTTAGTTATGAGATACACTATACCTTTGGTTCGACCGTAAGGACATCCCCATGTTCGACATGAGCACCAAAGAGAGTCTGCATGGAAGTCAACATGGTGTCTTGTTTTTTAATGACGATTTCCTCAAAACCAAGGTCTACTCTCCCGGAGTAGTCGTGGTAAATACGGTAAAATGTGTCTGAGGCAGGCAAGGTTTACGATACACCTAGATCAGTTGGGTTGGTGCTCTTGACAGTTAGGAATACCACCATTGTAGTTGTAGGGCATTGCATACCCATATGCTTGGCGGAAAGCCAACACATAAGGTAACGCTTTGGATGCACGAGTTGGGGACGAGTTGGAAGTGGCTGGACCAGCGGCCGAACTGCTCTGATAGAACAATGTATACTACAAGAGGGGGGGGGGGTGAATTGTAGTGTATGTAGACTATGGTAAATTTTGCGGAATTAAATCTACTACTAAGAGAAAAGACACTGAGATAGGCAATGAATAAATTCACTATGTAAAAATGATTTACAATCACTAATACGTTGCCTAGACTCAAGTTCCGTGAGGAACTCAAGTTACCCAACTGTGATCCCTCAATCACAGTTTCTCACACTTTGTGATTCTACTCCGAATCACTTGTACAGTGTAAACAACTCTCTCAAATCTCACACTTTACAACTCTCACAACCCAAACCCAATTACACAATGATTACAAGTATTTTCTAAAGAACTTAAGAGACTAAGGATGGAAGGAACTTCTCTTTTAAACACTTTGAAACTCTATGCTCAGAATACTTAAGATTGTTTTTCCACACTTTCAAAACTTAACGTTGATCTGTTTTTATAGGGAGATTATCCAAGCTTCCATCATGTTCCTACTTCCCCCTCAATCCCACGTTCACCTATACTGGGAAGTTGGGATGTAAGTGGAGGAAGTTGAGAACCATGATTTCACTAACTTGACTCCCAAATCCAACGTGCATCCTGTTTTTAAGCAAACAGAATTTTACCAAGTCAAAAATCAGTTTAAAAGAACATTTATTAAAAAGATAAATATTTATTTATTAAAAAGATATTTAAACAATTAATTAATTTAAAATAAATTTATCTTTTAAATTAAAGAATTATTTAGATTTTATTTATTTATAAAATAAATCTTTTCAACTGATTTTATCCCAATATTTTCAAACTGATTTTATCTCTTCCTTAAATTAAGGATTTTGAAAACTGTTAAAAACTTTTCTGAGTCATCCGTCAATCGTCAAGTTCCTTCAGGAACTTCAGGTTCCTTCAGGAACTTCATGTTTCTTCTTAGTTCCTTCCAACACTTTTGTTTCTTAAGTTCATACACTGAGTAACTAAGTATATAGAGATATGAGGACATCTTGAAAGCTTGCATTCATCATCAAGTCTTCCAAACTTTGTTGTTCCTACTCCGGAACATATTACTTCAAACCTGAATCTTCTGCTTAACCAAGACTCTTTTAAACATCATTAGTCGGAGTTTGTTTTACGTAAGTCAATCATCAAAATATAAGGTAGTCAATTCAACAATATTCCCCCTTTTTGATGATGACAAACAAAAACAAACTCGGTTAAAACAAAATAATCATCCAGGCAAATTTCGGAACTATTAACAGTAAACTAATTATATAAACAAAACAGAAAAAAATAAACTAAGTATTAAGAAGTCTGCATCATTCTACAAATTAATAAATTATGAGATTTATACCTTTGCTTAAACGATGAAGACTTGAAGAGGAATCGGTTTGAGTCCAGCTTTCTGAGTTTGTTCTTCTCTTCCCCCTTTTGACATTATCAAAATGATAGAAAGAGCATGCTATATATAGTACTAAACTACGGAGGGAGTAGTAAATCTGAATTCATGAACGATTAAGCATGCGCACACAGTTCATATGCAACCAGAATGAGAATATCAAATTAAAAAACAAATCAAGCCAATTGATTTCAAACCGAATCAAAACAAAATCTATAAAACAAACCAAAAAAGATCCAAAATTAACAAAAGAAAAACTGAACAGAAGAACATTGTTCATAAATCACAAGAGACAGTGGGGTAGGTATGTTTGGCAGAGAGTGGAAGTGGTAGGAGCTTCATGGTAAAGGAACATCTTTGATTGCCTTGAGAATGGTCTTGTAGCACTGTTCCTTCACCGTAGCTTTGACTTCCTGGGATGAGGAGTCCATATGAGCATTGATTTTATTTTCCAGAGAAATCATCTGAGTTTGCAGCCCCTCAACTGTAGTAGCCAAGTGATCCACTTTAGAGGTAAGGGTAGTTATACTCTGTGTAAGTGTAGTGGACAAATGCTGAAGTTCCTCCTGGATTTGCAAGAGACTTGGACCAGAGCTAAAAGCGCTGAATCCGAAACCAGAAGTACAAGGCTGGGAAGCAAGGGGAGAAGGTATGGTGTGGTGAGCAGGGGATGGAATTTGAGGTGGTGATGGAGTTCCCTCTGGAACAGAAGAGGAGGGGCCCGGAGGAACTTGGGTGGAAGTTCCTTCAGAAACTTTAGTTGATTCTTCATCCAACTCAACAATGACAAGCTCAGAATGCAGGGGTTTGGGTTTGGATGAAGCAAGTCTGACACTCCTCCTTCGTCTGCCTGGTATAGGGGTGTGTTTGACAGAACCCCCAACTTCCTGAAGTAAGTCTTGCAGTAATGCCTCCTGAGCATCCTCTTCCTCCTTCTCATTCTCTTGATCATCCTCTTCCTCCTCCTCATTTGCACTCTCTACTACCCCATCACTCTTAACTTCTTCTACCTCTTCTTCACAATCCTTCTCTGGTTCTTTCTCTCCAATTGCATTTTTA